CTCCTGATAATGACCTTTCCCAGGTTCCTCCCCTCCCAAGATTTACATGTGAGCAAGCTAACTTTCCCCCAAGCAGATTGCCGACTTACAAAATGTAACAGGAAAAGAGAAGAAGCTCTAGAGATGGTTTCAGGTAGACGTTGCAATTTTGTCTCATGTAGGTTTGAAACCACCTGCCAGAAAGCTTTTAAACTTGTTCCACTCTGATTTGCTATCAGTGCACAGACTGTCCTTGTCACCATCTCTTTGGTGTCTTTGGTACGTGCCCACGACACCTGGAATGCGAGATAGCAGGACGATCAGCTTAAGCCTCCTTCCTTGTCCCTTCATCATTGTTGCTGTCATTCGTAAGAATGCACTGTGTATCTAGTGCTTTCCTAATACAAGCTTTAGGTATTTTACAGACACATAACAATCTTATGGAATGTCTACCATTAACTCATCTTTCACCTGAAGAAGTAGGCCAAGTGAAATGCTTAACTATCTGAAGGTCATACACTAAGGAACAAAATTTCCTCAGCTGTTAAAGTGTAGATCTACTTAACACCAGAGGACGCATACTTAAGTGGGCTCAGGATGAAAGAACAATGGATCACATGTGTGTGTGGATCTAAGATAAACCTGGGTTTCTCTAAAGTGATAGCACTGTGATAAAGTTCTTAATCTGGGATTCATGGACCTCTGTGTCCACAAATAGATTGGGAAAGGCTTCCAACCCACTAAAACAGAATTTGGTAAAAGGCAACCTAGTAACTATGCTAGACTTTGTAGACTTTGAGGGATTTGTCCCTATATTTATCTCTATCTCTATAGAGAAAAAAGTCACAGATTATACAGAAATTACTGAGTGAGGATGAATCTCAATAAAACTTTATTTACAAAAACATGTAGTTTTAAATATATGCATTTTCTATATGCAAATATGTATAATTGCTTTTGTTGTTATTAGAAGACCCTTAACTTACTCTAGTTTCTCTAATAAGTTTAAAATCCTAGACAGTTAAGAACTATTGGTCTTATGAACACTTAAGAACTATTGGCTTAGACAGTCCAAGGTTTCATGGTTTTTTGTGTTATTTTAATGATCAAGCTTTTGGAGATTCTCTCTTCTTAGAAGATTCTTCTGACACACTCTACTCTGAACCCTTCAGAGGACAATAATTACCTGCATTGAGGAAGAACCATGAGTCACGTTACCATTTCAACCTCTTGTTTACTGGTGAGATGATAGAGGGTAAAACAAATACATTCAATGCTGCAACAGAACAGCTCAGTCCTGCACCAGACAGTCTGTGTTTTGCCATGGACTTTTCTTTCGGCCAGACACCATTTTTTGTGTATTCTACCAAGGCTTCACTACAGAAAGAACTCACTTATTCTGATCATACCCCTATGCAGTTTAGATTTCTGGAGCCAGCAAACTCTGAGCAGGTATGGAGGGGGGAGCGACTGCTGCATGCTGACTGACTCATCTGCATCTCTTCAGGGTCCCTCTACTCCTAAAGGACATATTTCTCTTAGGCCTCATTAGCTATACATTAGAGCATTTTGTTCATTGCATACGCTACACCAGTGTGTACACCCTGGTCTGGGTGTAGGCTGAGTGTGTCCCCACAAGGACATATAGCTTTTAGTTGGGTGATGTTAATATGTAGTCAGACGTGAAAGAGATAGGGCTTAGTGGAAGGTTGCTACTGGCCCCTCCTGGTTTTAATCTGGGTTCCTGTTTTGCTATGTGTTCTCTCTTTTTATCTCTAGCTCTCATCATTGGTGATGCTACATGTCACAAGACCTTTACAAGGGACAAGCTGATGTCAAACCTCAAGAACAGTGAGTGAAATAAATCTTTTCTTTATAAGGTACTGGACCTCAGATATTTTGCTATAGTAATGGAAAAATTGATTATTGCTATGTGTCTTTACCCTGTTTCCCATTCCTGGGTCTTATCTTCTTGAAGGGGGAGTTTTGGGGTGAGGTATGTTAATTAGATTCCATTGTGTCCCCCACAGAGGTTGGTACTACACTTAGCACATATGTGACAGGAAGAGTAAAGAACTAGAGAAAAGAAACAATAGAAGGCTTTATTTCAGGTTATTAGAACTGAGATCTCTGACAGCTACAGCCAGTTTTAAATTCTTACACAATATTTGAAAATCAAAGCAAGGGTTGCTCACTCGACTTGAATAACAAGATCAAGTCGTTTGATTTTAGGAAGAACAATAATAAGACCCTGAGATATCAAAACAAGGAAGTAGGAATACTGTGAAGCATAGTGTACACTTACATTCCAGGTTTATCTCTCAATGGAGAATTGAGCAGAGGGGAAGAACAGGAAAAACAAAAGGACATGCAGAATGGCAGAAACTGAAAGAGGAGAACGAAACCAGGGGAAGAACAAAGAGATGACGAGAAATACTACAGACAAAAGGACAAAGCAGAGTGAGCCTGTGGCTGCACAGCTACTGCTGTGTTTCAATTCGGTGTCATTAGGGTGCAGCTATTTCTCACAGCAAGTGCCCCCCAAAGAAGGCAATAAACCAGCAAATGGCAATAACAGGAGTATAAATCTCTTAGCCAGTACTTATGGAGACTTTATTCCACATCAGACCCCTAAATATATATGACATCAGGATTAGTGTGAGCTCTGTGAATTTTCCATCAATAAGAGGACCGCATGGTGCTGCCTGCACCCCCAGCTAATATTTCAGCTCAGCTCTAATTACTATTCTCATCTGGCAGCAGTATGGTGCCAGCAAACAGACAGGGGTCTCGGAAGCCGGGGTGCTTGTCCGGCAAACTCATCATCATATGACCTTGGCTGGCCAAGTTCTGGGCCTCAGTTTCTGTTCCCATTAATATGAGCAAGAACTCTCTGTTCTGCTTATTTCATGGGTATTGGAAGGGGAAAGAGTGGGAATATGTACACTCACATGCTTGGGTAAGGATAAAATGCCAGATAAATGTAAATTGACCTTCTCCTCTTCATTTAACAATGCGGTGGGTAGACGGGGGTGGGGGGTGGGGATGGTGGCATTTGGAGCAGAAGGCTTAGTGACTCAAATGAAGTGTCTTTTTCCCCCCTCGGTAATATGTGGTCTAGAGTTATTACTGCTTTCTCAGTGTTTTTAGGCATACTTTTCCCCTTCAGAAATGCCAAAGGTGAGAAATACTATTCTACTGCTATAATTTGTCACCCTTGCTGCCTGAGCAAGACGTGCATAGACAGTTTAGTAATTAAGCTTTTCAACACTGCATCATAAAGTTTTATTCTGGCAAAGGCTATATTTATCAGCTAACAGGTATTAAATCACCCTACTGCTTAAGCCGTTTCTCACTTGAATATGCTCCTTTCAAAACAGAGCGGCTTTTCTTGGCTGACTCGAATAACAAAAGCTCTTATTTGGAAATATGGTGATGATGTGTGGTCTTGCAGGGTGGGAACACCCACGCCTCAGCAACGGCTGACGTCGGGCTGACCCACCCCCGGGAGCTGGGACCTTTGCACCTCGTCCTCTAGAGCAACCCCCAACTGGCTTCCATGGAACTCTGGCCAGCAGCCGACATATTCCCTTTTCTCTAACATTTCTAAGCGTGGAAGAGGTAAACGAAAATCTAAATATAAATAAATTTTCAAAATGATTAAAGTAGCAAAATGATAACTATATATGTTTAGGTGTTGTTTTTCTCATACATTTGTAGTCTTATCAAAACATACAGAATTAGTAAGCAATATTTTAGAATAAACGTTAAAAGTTATTAATAATAGTTTAAAATAATACTTTCTCTAAGTAACCCATTTCTTTCTTTTACCCATCCTTTTCTCTTTTGTAGAATATATACTCATGAAATAAATACAGCAGTGGTCTTAAAATTTTGGAACACTTTCATTCAAATGGCTCTAGAATCGTATTTCCTAAAAACAAAATAGTAAATACATTTAAATGACTTCTTTGCCATATATTAAGAGTAAAATCAAAGTAAAGACAAAACTGTTAATCAAACATATGCTATAATGATGTTTTTTCCATAAATGTTTTCTCATAATTTTCATTACTTTAGACTAGAAATTATATATTTGTTTTCATTTCTCTACTTTTAAAATAGGTACCATTAACTGAATATAGGCATTTTAGTTTTTTGTAGCAATCTATTGCTAAAATGAAACATATAATAAGTGTCATAAGATCATAAAATTCCCTTTACAGCTCCATAAGAAAGTTTTGCCTGTGTATGTATGTGTACCCATGACAATAGGCATGAATGTGTAACTCTTTAGTCACTGACAAAGTAAGGAGTATTTTGTTGAACTTTTCTTTATGTTGTGAGGTTGCACCAATTTCTTTCCTTTCAAAATGCACCACTTCGCTTTTCAAATTAGCAACAGGTAGCTTGCTTTAAAAGGCTGGGGATCAATTCTTCTCCAGCCTGCAAGCCATGGGGCCCAGTCCCTGACAAATAGGGGTGATATGCTGAACCATTAAATTGGCAGAACTGAACTACTTTAAGTGCATCTATTTTCTGGTTCAGTAAACTTTTGGTTTGCCACAAAAAATTCATTAAAGTTGACATAATCTAAATGTCAAGGCACTTTCTTGAGAACAGGTTAAGGTAATAGCACCAGCTACAGGAGACAACACAAGTTAAAGACAGATACACTTTTTTTTCTCAGTTTCTATTTGATTTTTATCTTTCATACTAAGACTGAAATGTTTTAAGCTTATAAAGTACTATGTGACTAGGAAAACCAAATTGAATCTTGTTATTTTCTGAAGCTCTACAGGGAATTTCCTTATCACTGAAGTCAGCATCCAAACAACAACTCCATGACACCTACTAACTTGGGAAATAAATGAGAAACAAAAATGACACTGTGAGTTCTATAGTTTGGAGAAATCTTGAGTTCACTAATTTGAAAAAATGTTGAATCATGGACACATTTGTAGATTTAAAATGGGGGTTTAATAATGATTATTCTTTATTTAGAACAAACTTTTTAAAGGGATAAATAATGAACTGCTGCTTTTGATTTTAATTTAATTTTTGGGGCAGCCTATTTCTTATTGTTCACACTACTTTTTCTCCAATAAAGACTGGCAATTCAGAAAAGCAAGGAAAGGGACAAGGTGAAAGAAATTTTTATTCTTATGTGGAGTTTAACTATCAAATTATAAGATTGATTTTATTCTCCATATTAAAGATGACAGATGAACAACTTTTCCAGTAATTTCTCTCAACAAACTAGAAAATAAAACAATCAGTAACAGAAAAATTTGAATCAAAAGCAAATGTGAAAAATAAGAATTCAGGTATAAATATGATTCCTTAAAGCTTCCAGAAGGCATAGGGCAGAAGTGATACAGCCATCAAAGTTGGACTGAGCGAATCCATCCCCTCCACACACGAGAAAAGGTTTGCGGTGAAGAGTCATCTGGCCAGAGCAGCTGGTTGTACCACTTGTGACCTGGAAAATGTAAAGAAAGATTACAATTGACATTTGGTGTTTACTCTGTGGTAGTGGCAACATCTGAAAAAGACTTATCTACCCAGAGAAGTCCTACTTCTCAAAAGGAACATCAGAAACAAATGAACAAACAAATGAAAAACCCTTAAATCCTCCCTCCAGCCCTCATGTTTTATCTGCATTAGTAAATGTTTAAATTTCTCATTATTAGATAAGATAATCAGATGTGTATAGAATTGAAAACTAGTAGGCACAGTGGCCCCCAAATTTACACTTCCCCAAATTCCTGCCTTGAAATCCTACTCCTCAGGGTGAAGATGCTGGAAGAGGATTTGGGGATACAGTTAAGTTGTGAGAGATCAATGCCACAGAAAATAGATCTAGCAATTTTTTGACTTTATTAATTATTATTATTATTATTATTATTATTAACCACCCCAACACACAGCCAGAAGGTGATATCTATGAGAAAGTGGGCCCTCACCAACTCAACAAACTGAATTTGCTAGAACCTTAGTCTTGGACTTTTCAGTTCTTAGAACTCTGAAAAATGTTTATTTTGTTTATAAGCCACCCAGTCTATGGCATTTTGTTATATCAGGCCAAGGAGAAAGGCACACTTCGTCTCTCCTCTCCTCTCTTCTACTCTTTCTATCTTCTCCTATTTGCTAACTTCTGCTTTTAGACAGACCCTGTGCTGGGCACTGGAACAGCAGAATTTTCAAGTGCTATATCCCTGTCTTGCAGAAGCTGACTCTGGAAACCAAGGCTGCCTTGAAAGCAGAGAGTGGCTCTTTTCTATTATTTACTGAGTACCTCCTATGTGCCAGAACGTGTTTCATTTGCTGACTGCATTTCATGAATTAATTAACTCATTGCAATCAACTTGCGTAGGAGACTAAGGGAGTCTGATGGTTGTAGAAGAACTGGGCAGTTGAGGAAACAGGGCAGGGTCATTCCAGGCAGACGGTAATGCTCACTCAATCTATGGGCCACAGAAAGCAGAGTGTGCTTAGGAAAGTGTAGCACTGTTAGGCAGGTCACCGTGTGTGTGTGTGTGTGTGTGTGCCTGTGTGTATGTGTGTGTGCATGCACACATGCATGCACTGGGGAAGGGGGATGACTGGAGAAAAGAACATGGCAGAAAGGCCCACAGAAGGGATTCAGCATCTCAAAATTTAAAAATATAAAACTGCTGGGCGTGGTGGAACACATGTCTGTAATCCCAGCACTCAGAAAGGCTGAGGCAGGAGGACTACAAGGTTAAGCCCAGCTTGGGTAATTTAGTAACTTAGTATTTTATTTCAAGTAAAAATAAATAATGGCAAAAAAGAATAAAAAAATAAATAAATAATGGCAAAACAAAATTTAAAAAAATAGCTTAATATGAAGACCCTGTGTTCACTCCTCAGTACTACATACACAAAATCCAGATTGTTACAGGCCTCACACTATTACTACTGTTTAAAAATCAGGAAAAAATCAAGCTGTAATAAATACTGTTTGAATTATGGTGCTAAGGTTTTGGTTGTAGATACTTAGAAAATGCTTTATTTTTTGCTCCTGGTACAGAACCCAGCACTTTTGTACTGAGGTATATTCCTAGCCCTTTCACTATTCTTATTTTGAGCCAAGAACTCACTAAATAGTCACTAAATAGTACAGGTTGGGCCAGAACTTGATATCCTCCTGCCTTAGTTTCCCAGATTTAATATGATTATAGCTATGTGCTACCATACCCAACAGCTCCTGCCTTTATAACTTTTGGTTTTGTACATGGTGTGTTGTGCCATGCCCAAGTTTGAGTAGTTTTTTCTTTTTTAACCAATTTTTTAATCTATCAGTTTTTCTTACATGGCTTCTGGATTTTAAAAAACAATTTTATTGGTACATTTTAGATATGTATAATGATAGCATTCATTCTATGGAATTTGCACTTTTTTTTTTTTTTTTTTTTTTTTTTTTGTGGTACTGGGAATTGAACTCTAGACCCTGCACTTGCCAGACAAGTGCTTATTCTACTGAGCTATCTCTCTGGGCCCAGGAATTCATACTTGTAAATGATACACCTTGATTCTTTTTTTCCCTATTCCCCTCTCTTCAACTTCTCTTCCCATCCTATTTAGAAAAGCTTTGTTTTCATTTTTTTCTTTTAGTTATTTTTCTTTTCTTTAAAAGCCAAAATTTTTGCATAAGTTTTTTCTTCTTATAAATTCTATAGGTACTATAATTATTTCTTTGTTAAACTTCTAACAATACCAGCATCTCTCAAATATGAACGTAACATTCAGGGCGTCCTCTCACTTTTCTGCTGGTCAGTTTAGAGCAGCGTCATCCATCATACGGCAAGTGGTCTTGAAATCAGCAGATATGACCTTAGCAGAGACGGCACGTGGAACAACCCCAATGTGCAGACTTAGGGGCTGAATTAAAACTATAAAGTCTGCTTTTGGAGTTGTAACAAGATAGTTTATTTGATGTGGCAATGAAATACTAAGGGGGGAAGAATATTTCTGGTACATTTTAGATATGCATAATGGGTACTAGTGATTTCAGAACATGCCAAGGCATGGTCTGAAAGCAAAGGATGCTCTATTAAAAACTGAAAACACAGACAAAACTGGGAAGTAGCTTGGCATTCTGATGCAATATAACTTGGTGAAGAGGTAAATAACTTTCTGGCTCTTAACAGGCCCCAAGGACATCAGCTGTTAATTGTACTGTATCATTTATATTCATAGTGATGGCCTCAGTTTCCAAAAATCAATTCTAATATGCATGAAGTATCTAGGGATAGCATTCTTGGATGTTTACTACATAGCAAATGTTTTATGTGCAGACCTCAGTTAATTCACACTGCAATACTATGAGGTTATTATTGTTCTTCTTTATAGAAGAGAAAGTTGAGGTTCAGAAAGATTGTTAATGTCCCCAAAGCCAGAAAAACTAGTAGATGAAGAAAGAGATTCAAATAGAGCAGGCTGATTTCAGAAAATCACTCTTCTTACACTTTTAGAAACATTTCCATAAAGATTTGAGTAAAACAAAACAAAACATGTAATTAGTCACTTAGCTTTAGGCATCTGGAAAAGTCACACAAATGGAATAACTCATTCATATATTCACTCACATATATTTATCTATATATAATATTTAAAAGAAAATAAAAATGTTTACTAGTCAATGAACTTTTCAGATCTAGGAAGCTCACATACATGGGCTAACTCATTGATAATATATTCACATGTGCACATACATATGTCTGTCTTTGTAGAATATGCACACATACATGTAAATCTCCATTTGTGGTAAAGGTTTGATACCTACAAGTTGACATCCCTGTACAGATAAACCACAGTACTACTAAACACAAATATTAAGCAGGAAGAGCTTAAGGGGAAAATTCTGCACAGTCATGAGCTGGTAATTTATTGGTGCTATGTAATTTAATTTGATGGATAGTAAATGGCAGATGCCAGATCACATGGCTGGAAACCTGGGCCACTGAGGAGCCAGTCGGAAAGCTTGGATGAAATCAATCTCACTGCACATAGGGGGATTCACGCATTGTGCAATTACTCAATAAGGAAAATATGAAAACATAGCATGTGTGTTGGCAAACTCCTTCAGCCATGTGAAGCAAAGAGTCCTGCAGTGGAGGAGCGTGTAATTGTCAAAGCCACAGTCTCTCGCAATAACACAGCCTTTGGCTACACTTCCAGCCACAGTGAGGAACCACATCTCAATGACTGTGTTTAAGAAAGTAGTCAGAGTTGAATTAACCCCTTAGAAATCCAGGTTGCTTTGCCTGCATGTGTGCCAGGGCTGGTCAGAAAGAACTCATGCCTGTTCTTGAGTGAATCAAGTAATATTTCTATAAACTTAGACGATGCCTGGATTGGATTATAAATTCAAGGCCAAAGTGGTTTTAGTTCTAAGTGATTTAAACCTACGTGAATATGTCTAGCAATTTCTCTTCATCTGCAGAATAAGCTGCAAACTCCTAGGATTCATACAGAGTCCTTTGTAAAAGATATCTTACTACCATTCAAATCTCCTGTCCTGGCCCTGTTCATCTTTGCCGCAGGCCCTAGCTACATTCAAACTAAGGATCATCAAACCAGAAGTTTCCATCGTTATCCTCCTGTGAACAAGCCACTCTGTCAGGTGATGTCGTATCCTCTTTTTTGACAAGTAAATTGATCATCCTTTAAGAAACAGTACAAATATCACCTGCTCTGAGGCTGTCTTGCTCTGTTTGGCACGGTAATTGCCTTTGCAGTATTTTATTTGTATCTATTATGCTACTTGTTATTTTGCACTGCTCCTGTGTCCATACTTGTCCCCTTCCCTAGGCTGCATTCTCCAAAGGGTGGGAACTGCGGTTCACCAAGCTTTGTCATCGAGGGTGAGAACACATTAGAGCATGTATAAATGCTTACTGAGTTAACAAGTACAGTGTTCTATGCACAATTGATCAAGTGAAGATCTTCACAAGAGATTCTTCTACAAAAAGTGCTATGCAGAGGCTCCTGCAGAGCTGAGCAGAAGTGCAGATGGAAGTGCTACTGTATGTGGAAGGCACTTGATAATGGTGAGTCTCCTAACCTCAGACTGTGAGGTGCCTTATGGGAAGGTTTCACATGCCACATATTAAGTCAAACTGCACAAACTTACTGATTCTGTGGGTCAAAGAATGACAAGAGACTGTCAAGTTTTGTAATGGACAGCCTAGTAGAATCTTTGTATCATAACTATTCACTATAAAAGTTAACATAAGAAATCCCTTTGTTGTGAGGATGAAGGATGGAAAGAAAAAAGGCAGAGAAGGTTGAGCATTGCCACAAGATGATTAGAAAAGAAGGGTTTCTGACTTGTAGGTCAGAGCAAAGAGACTTCAGTGCCACACACAATAATGTACATTGTTCCTTCTAAACCCAGGTTGACAGCAAAAGCATATCCTTGGTCTAGAGGACATTCAGTCACTCAGAACAATCCCA